CCTCCTCCTCTTCTTTTCTCCTCCTCCTCCTCTTCTTCTTTCTCCTCCTCCTCCACTTCTTTCTCCTCCTCCTCCTCTTCTTCTTTCTCCTCTTCTTCTTTTTTCTCCTCCTCTTCTTTTCTCCTCCTCTTCTTTTCTCCTCCTCCTCGTCTTCTTCTTTCTCCTCCCCTCCTCTTCTTCCTCCTCCTATTTTTCTTCTTCTTCCTCCTCCTACTCTTCTTCTTCCTCCTCTGTGACCAGTGCTGCATCTGCTCCACCTGCTGCAGTTGCTACAGTTCCCGACCTTTCCGCTGCACCTGCTGCAGGTCCCGCAGCTTCTCCGTCAAAAAAAAAAGTCTCCTTACGGGCCAATTTCATTTTCCTGGGGATCCCCGCTGCGAGTGCAGGGTGTGTAGACCATCATTGGACACGTGGCCCCATTGGTCGGCCGGATGTGGCTTGTCTGGGATCCCAGACAACTGGGGTCCCGTACGTCCAATCAAAACGACCGGCCCAATCGTCCGATCATCAGACAGGTGGTAAGGTTTGAAATGACTTTTGAGAGAGAGAGGGAGGAATGTCTGTCTCATCCCCTTCCCCGACAGGAGCGGTGGAACACATCCCCTCACTTTGCAATGCCATTTATCGCTTTTCGAAACAGGCAGAAGGACAAAAGGCCTCCCAGCCAGCACAGCAAATAAAAAAGGAAAAAAAGCGGGGAACTCTTGAGCGGAGTTGCCAACCAGTAGGCCCATTTTTTTCAGGAGAATGGCAGAATCGCCAGTTATCGTGATCAAATTTCCATCATTGTCACTGTCCGAACATATCAGTGTATCTGGCCATGTACAGGCCAGATAAATTCTGCAGATGATTTAGCAGAAATCACCTGGCACTAACCTGCAGAACACAAGAACTCGAGCAGATTCTGCCGGAAGTCAGTCCTCGCCTGACCTCAACAATGCACTTTCTTCACCAAAAGGAGCTTCTTTTCGACTGCCGCCCAAACTTTGCGAGGACCAAATGGGTACCTCAAAGGTTGTTCCGCAGTTATAAGGGCCAAGAAATGAGCACACAACACCAAAATACAAGCAGACTGCGTATGAAATCACTCCTCACCTGACCCCCATAGTGCACTTTCTTCACTTGAAGGAGCTTCACAAGGCGTGGCAGGAGTTCGGGTATCGACATCAGCACCTCGTGGTTCGTGTCCACAACACTTGGCTCCCTATCCGCCTCCTTAGCGAACTTCGGGAAATGAATTTGTTCCAAGGTTCCAGTATCTTGTCCCCTCGTTGTGGGAAGGGCCAGTTCTGGGCTCCTATCCTGCAAAGTGAGGAAAAGAGATATTGATAAAAAGAGAACAGCCTATGTCAGCTTGCATGATATCCTAGCAATCACGCCGGGTGCAATTTCGCCTTTGGAGTTGGCCAATGACAAGAATAACAGACGTACAGGCCCATAAGACCTGCACGAACTAACAAATTCAGTCACCGCCTATACATGAGCGAAGAAATCCCAGGACCTGGCACCTGCCAAACATGTGCACGGGTATAGTTTGGTATACCAACCATAGAAGTACCTTAGATTTACCAAAATAAGTCCATGACGGCTTCATTTCCATCTACAGCCAAGTCACTTCACCAAAAAATTGTGATAGACTCACGGCATCAGCATAACGTTCTGCAGCTTCTGCATCATTCTTTCCCAATCCTCATCACCCTGTGTCCATATGCTTCCACTGTTTGTGCATCTGACCAACTTCTGTCAAAGCATAGCTTTCACTCTACAGGTTGTCATCATTAGCTTCTGGCATGATACGTGAAATAGTCATTGAAGGAGTGTGCCAAGGCATTAATTAACGACAACAACACTCCTCTACACTCACCATCCGTTAACAAGGAGTCTGGCTACCAAAACCAGCATCTCTCTCTCTCTCTCTCTCTCTCTCTCTTTCTCTCTCTCTACACACACACACATACAAAAGAAAAGACAAAAAAGAGAAGAATACCAGCACATGCACACCTGCACACAGCAACTTCATAATTGTGCTAATTGTGCTAACACATGCTTAGGGAGGGGCCAGCCGCCTCACCTCAGGTTCAAAAACCACCATAGCCAAAACACGGCAAAAGAAAGCAAGTTGCTGCGATGAAAAGCTTCGGACAAGATCTGCAAATCCAGTGATAGTCTGGAGGTTGAGAGTCTCCTCGCGAGCAGCAAGAATCTCTTCAGCTAGTGCAACAGCTGCAATCACACCAAAATCAGCATCATCAGAAAACATCTTGCGGAAGCCGTCTAAATGTCAGTGAACCTTCTTCGCAGGCTTTCTTTCCCACTAAGTGAGAAACAGCAATCGCCATAAACCAGAACTGTTTCCACTCAAGCGGCCAGGTCACAAGGAGGCAGCAGAAGAGCCAGCTACTCTTGTGGTAAGACGGTGGGCAAGAGGTACCGCCGCCTGGACAAGCAATAAGGAAAGACGCACTGAATCACAAAGAAGAAATGTGCGGGCGGGAAAACCGAGATGAATACCAGGGTACACAGGTCGGTAAAGAAGGGGACAAACAAACCAAAAACGTGAATAGTCCCTCGTCAACAACCATTTGTCATGCGCAAGGAGGTCGAGAAAATGACGAGGACTGGTCATGAGGGGTCAACGGGGATTTCAACATGCTCCATTATGGTTAACAGCCCTGGGTTGCACTCTGCACTTTGCAGAGAGGGCAAGCTGTGCAGCTGCAGGTTTCGCACGCTGTGGCCAGCTTCACCACCAGAAAGAACTTTACCGCCAGGAAGAACCAGCTTCAACTGTTGGCGCCGGATTCAACGCTCTGGCTCCTTCCATTTCTGGGGACTGGCAATGCAGTTCTCATTCTGCCCTGGCAAGTCAAAGATGGCACATGATGCAGAACGAGTGTGAGCACACACTCTTACTCCTCTCCCTATTGTTTTATGAGGTCCTCCATCCGTTACTGCACCAGATGGTCATCCTTACAGTCCATTACAGTAAATAGACAGTCAGCTATGGGACCGGTAAGCTGTGCACTAATTCTCACTTGCTACGCAGGCTACGCATTCTCCAGGTGCCTGAAGTGGTGCAGCCAATGAACAACGGCACTGCAGCCCCCGAATCGACGAGCTATTCTCTCCGCATGATGGTCGGTTACGGATCCTGAGACATCCTCGCGAACTCCACTTTAAATCCGCGCAATCTCAAAACTGTAGCATATGTCCCATTTTAACCACCGAAAGCTGACTCCTTTCTATTCCCCAGATGTTTTCGTACTTTGAGGCCTCCACCCCTCTCCTCGAGATAGTATTCGCTTTCAGGTTGCTTCAATTTTCCACCTGCTCTGAACATTTGTAGGTCTTAAGTTGCTTCTCTGCTTCATTAGCTAACGCATCCCCTGTGCCCCGGCATTACAGATGGTCTCGACACAAGTACTCCACCCACCTTCGACACAAGTCCAATGCTGAGCTGTGAATTGTCTTATCCACTCCAGTTGTGAGCGCAGTGTCTCCCCTCACCCAACTAAGAGACACAGAGAGAGGGGGGGAGACAGAGAGAGAGAGAGAGAGAGAGAGAGAGAGAGAGAGAGAGAGAGAGAGAGAGAGAGAGAGAGAGAGAGAGAGAGGGGGGGGGGGGGTGTGTGTGTGGGGGGGGGGGGGGGGGGGGGGGGGGTAATGTTTGGGGGGGGGTGTGGGGGGGTGGGGTGGGTTTGGTACTTTTTTTTTTTTTTTTTTTTTTAAGGGTTGCATGTACTAAACAAAAATTGGGTGGGTTGGGTGAAGTGGCATTTCCAAAAACAAATGTTCATCTCTGATAGCCAGATCACTAAAAGACAGTAGCACTAATAGCCAAGAGTGTTTGCATGCGAGTCGTCACACCAGAAATGTTGACAGTGGTCTGTTCCGCACTGCGGGTGGGCGTGTGTGGTTCATAGCAGTAATAAAGCTTGCAAGGAGGCACAAAACTGGTGTGAACCAGACAATCGGGTAAAGAAACACCACAGTCAGGAAACGGCCCAGCTTGTAGGTCACTGTGCTTGCCCTAAAAAGCATTGCACACCTGCAGTTGGAGATTCTGTAAGGCAATGTAAAGGACTCGTGCAGCACAGCATTGCCAAACGGGCCGCCAGCCAGGCGCTCCCATATATATTTTGGCAAGGTCACTGACATCATGCAAGATACGTTCAGTGCAGCAAGGAACACAACAACAGGCATGTAGGCATCCATCAATCATGGCCACAGCGCGGTGATGAGGAGGGCCATCTCAACACTCCTCCGGTGGACGAAAAGGAGGGATCTAGAAGGTACTCGGGAACACATAGTGATCACTTCGGAACCAACCACAGCGGAGCGGAGATTTGTCTGGGAGCAAAGAGGCTGCATCAACACGCACTTGTAGCTCTCGTGTACAACGGCCAGGCAAGCAGGGCAGTTGGCAGAGAAGAGAGGGTGAGTTACGCATGCAGCCATAGCAGGGACTGAAATTGCACCTGCCCTTTGACAGAGAACAAACCCTCAGCTTCACAGGAAGGCATCACCAATGAGGACACAGAAGAGAAGTGCGAACTCTAGCGATAGAGAAGAGGAGGATATAGAGACAAAGTTTTCCTATCAGCAAAGGGACAAGCGAAAGTGGATTACAATGACAAAGCTGGAGTGGCAGAATTTCATTGCAAGGAAGGAGGGCACGAGGCTGAGCTGCCGAATTCCTGGAGGGGAGGGTATGGCATGGAAATTGACAGAAGCGACACAAAGCAACATGGGCCTACTCGTCCTCCAGGTGGCACGGAAACACGAAAGGGCGAAGAAGATAAACACGGCACAGAAGGGAACACACACGGTAAAAGAGGTCAACACGATGGACGAGGTGGATGTGTGAGCATATTGGTGTGGAAGTGCGCATAGAAGTGACAGAGGAAGCAGGAGGGACGGGATGTGTGGGGAAAGGTGGAACAACGGATATTTTAACACAAATGGTAGTCAAGCAGAACAATGGATATTTGCACACACATAAATGGCAGTGATATCAGGGTTGGTAGTGGTAAAGCAGGTGGTCGAGAAAACGGAAAGCATAGCGTTAATAAAGGCGGCTGGCTCTAATTACTACGACCTGGAGATGATGAACAGTTGGAACAAGTTAATAACGGGGCAGAGAAGACCAAGGCATATTGAAGCTACCACAAGGAGTCAATCGGAAAATGAAGTATGAACAGAGAAAGTGTGTTTGGGACTAGCTTACATGGGCGGACGTTCAAGATTGGCCAAAACGTCCGCCCGAGAGATATGTCCACCCCCTGGGCCCCTACCAAAATAAGGGGGTCCTCCTCCTCGTCGTCTTCCTCCTCCTCTTCTCCTCCTCTTCCTCCTCCTCCTCCTCCTCCTCTTCTTCCTCATTCTCGTTTTTCTACTCCATGTTTCATACAAACCAGTCGAGTTTTCAGCCATCTTCCAACCACCACAATGTTATCTGACATAATGAAATTAGCAACAAAGAGTAGACATAGAGAATTACCATCAGATAATAATTGAATATTTTGAGATTCTCTTTGTCAGAAAAGAAGGATGCCAGAAGAAAGAAAAGAGGTGAAGTCCGAACGGACTGGATTATTAATTTAATTTAATTTAATTGAAAACTCTTCTTCCTCATCCGTGTTCTTCTTCTTCTTCTTCTCCTCCTCCTCCGCTTCGTCCTCCTCCTCCTCCTCTGCCTCCTCCTCTTCTTCATCATCCTCCTCTTCTTCTTTCTCCTCCTCCTCTTCTTCTTTCTCCTCCTCCTCCTCTTCTTCTTTCTCCTCCTCCTCTTCTGCCGCCTCCTCCTACTCTTCTTCCTCCTACTACTATTCTTCTTCCTCCTCCTNGGGGGGGGGGGGAGGAGAAGGGGAAAAGAAACGAATGGCTGTGAGCAGCTACCCTCTGTTGGAAAGCCATGGTTCTATTTGCTGCTTATCCTTCCCCAACTGGAATCTCAGCGTGGTCGGCAAACGTCCGTGACTACATTCCTGGTTTAGACAGAATTGGTGAGAGGCTGTGTTTTCTTCATTCCAGCTGTGCTTTGATTTGCCGCTTCACTCTTCCCAACTCTGCTCTGATTTGCCGCTTACACTCTTCCCAAACAGGACCCTCAGGCCTTCAGGACATTAGTTAAAAAATTATACCAACGGACAGAAGATTAGCATGGCCCCTCTTCCCAAGGGTGGCATGCATCAAAAACAAAAAAAAGACACTTAACCTCAGGCTGGCCTGAAAGATGTCCTTGAGACTCGTTGAGAAAACGTGTTTTCTGTTGTCAAGTTTTGTCGCGGTTTGATTCCCCGCTTTGCTCTTCCCGACCTGGAATCTCAAGCTCATCTGAATGCTGTCCAGGACTTCATTGCAGGTCCAGGACTCAATTCCAGGTTTACTCTGCAGATGCGATCTCCTTGCACAAACTTCTCCAGATATACCAGAGAAAGAAAGGCGAAAAAAGACAAAAGAAGAAAAAAAAAAGGGATAGACCAGAGAGCTCTACCTTTACAAGGTCTTCAAACAAGGTGCTCTCTCAAAAGAAAAGACAAAAGGTCATGTGTTCAGGATCTGTACCCCTCAACCCACCAATACTTCCAAGCCTCTTCTTCTCAATGTCGAATTCATTTTTCCTTGCTGCTTGCACCTATTCTTGTCCAACCGGCACCAGCACAGAATCGAACCTTTCGAATGGAGCTTCCAGCACTTTCATTTTGGTAAGCCGAGCCCCAAACAGGGGGGGGGGGGGGGGGAACCAGCTGGGAAAAGATACGTGTGCTCGAATAGAGCAGCATAAGGCACCAATGGGCCTTGCCCGGTTCTCACACCCACGAACTGTTGAAATGCAGACCTGATCTCTAGTCCAGATGGAACTAGATGAATGGAATTCTGAATTACCTTTAAAAAAAAGAGGAAAAAAAGAGCAGCATAAGGTACTTGTGCTCTAATGGGGCAGCAGTAAATATATCCCGGAGAAAAAGGAGTGAGCAGGAGAGAGCCTGAGCCTGTCAGCACATTCACACTACAACTTTCCTGGGCGTATCTGACCACAATTACGGCCAGGCCTGAATCTATCGACCTGGCCACAATTCCATCCCGCGCTGTCAGAAAGGTCCTGGTGTGAATCTGTATGCCGTGAGACTTTCGACCTTTTCCCCGACCCATTCCTGCCTTGTCTTTCTTTACACAATCAAGTACCCAATGCAAGATCTTTCATGGCATCTTCTTTTCTT